GCTCACAGTCCGATGAGGGCGCCCCAATGACAATTCTTCCTTCAGTCGACCCACCAATGGCCCCGCAGGGTCAGTGAGGGTTAATCAGACGTTTGTAAAAGTTTGAATGTTTCATAGAATGACTGCACACTATCACAGGTTTAAAAACTTGTTGCGCAGATGATGCCGATGCTCCTCTATTAAGTGATCTATCAGCCGATCTTCTGGGACTCGACGCAGAGTCGTGGAGTCTTGCAGTGAGTCCGGATTTCTGCCGGCAGCATGACAGACGTGCCATCAAACGCCAGGATGTAATTTATGGTGAGGCCGGGCGGTCTTTTGTCATCGAGAGTCATTAAGCCATTCCAGTCTCTTCGTGAATCAGTTGTATTATTATGATAATCCACTTTGCTGCCTCCTTGTAGAACTAATGCAGACCGAGCTGCACCACATCCAGACTCTGACGGTCATGTCCGAAGTGTTCAGACGAGGAATGCTGGAGGAGCTGCAACTCGACTGGGATTGCGTGGCCCGGATCTTCCCTTGTTTGGATTCCTTGTTGCTCTTCCACAGGAACCTCTTTGGATCACTGCAGGAGTGCAGACAAGCTTCCACCCAAGCCGAGAACCAGAAAAATTACCTCATCCATCAGATCGGAGACATCCTGCTTCAGCAGGTTGGTCACGATGCATACATGTTCACGATTGCCAAAAATATTGTCACCGTCCACCCATATCAAAGGACTCTTCTTAAAACTGAAGATGACCCTTTCAGTTCTCAGATGAAAATGCTGAGACAATGAAGCAAGTGTACGGCGATTTCTGCAGTCACCACATGGAAGCTGTCAGTGTCTTCAAGGAGCTTCAACAGCAGAATAAAAAACTCCAGAACTTTGTCAAAGTGGGGCCCCCGGTTGTAGAACATTGCATGTTTTCAAGATCTGCAATGTTGTAAAATCCTTGTGGCCTCTCTGCTCACAGCAACAGAGCCATAACTCGCTGGTCAGGAGGAGAGGGATTCCAGAGTTTATCCTTTTAGTCACCCAGCGCATCACCAAGTACCCAGTTTTGTTGGAGAGGATATTACATTACACTCAAGGCAAGTCAGCTCCTTGTACAGTGGTGCCTTGAGATATGAGTCAAGCGTGTTCACAAATCACTTAAAACTGTGAATTATTTTGACATATGAGCCATCATTCAGCTGATTCTATTTATTTCTGTATTTATTTGCTTGACTTCTGAGCAAAAATGAATGATACAAGTGGCAGTGAATTCAACTGACTAAAGAACCACACGCAAATGTGCAAGCGCTCACTCAACTGATTGTTTCACTTCCATTCACAGTTCATTTCATCAGTTCAATGCAGAGCATATGAATATTTTTGCTTCCAAAAGCCCTTTTGCGGTGTTGTTTATGTTGTTTTGTAGACGGAAAGTCTTATTTAGATGTTTGAGAGCAAAAAATGGTGGCGCCACACTTGAACTTATGCGTGCGTTCCAAAAAGGTCTTTTTTCCTCCGTTTCTTTTACTCAGAAAATGGAAATCTAATGACATTTCGCTATTTTCTAATGCTGATTGCTAAAGAACGGAACAAAGATAGAAACAAACTTTTTTCCCGGCTCAAAGAACAGAGTCTCATTTTTTCTCTTGGTAGGCCTGCATGTTAATATTGCATTGAGGGGTTTGCTCCGGTGAAAATGGCCTGGCATTGAATGAGTTAAGAGCATTGCATCACCATTCATTTCAATGGGGAAAGATGATTTCAGTACAGGTGTTTTTTTTTTTAGTTAAAGATGTGGTCAAGAAACAAACGAAATCCATATCTCAAGGCGTCATTATAGTTGATGACATCTTTAACCTTGAACTGTACAAATGAATGAATAAATATTTCTATCTTGGTTCAAATCACTGTGTAAAAATGAATTCTGAAAACAGAATTTTATATTTAACCCTTTCATGCACCCCATAACACGATAAGCTGTCCACTGTAGTAACCTCTGTCCCTGAGAGGGTTAACCTTGACCTTGATGACCTTAAACCTCGACAGAAGGCAGTCAGGAACACTCCGACTTGTCAAGTGCTCTGGCTCGGATTCGTGATATCATCGCAGCAGTGGACCTGACTGTCAGTAAGTACGAGAGATCTCAGGAGCTGCAAGAAGTGCTCGCCCGTCTGGAGAACAAGAGCTTTGCCAAACTAAAGAGCGGCAAGGTGATTCGCAAGCAGGACCTGCACAGCAAACACAGAGATCTGCAGCACAAGGGACTGCTTTACTGGAAGACCGCCACAGGCCGCCTAAAAGGTTTGTAGCTTCTGCACATCTGGCGCCGGATCGTTTTCGTTGAGCTGATAACTAACTTTTGTGATTTTTTTTTTTTTCCGCCTTCCCTCTAGATACATTGGCCCTCCTCCTTACAGATGTTCTGGTGTTCCTACAAGAGAAAGATCAACGCTTTGTGTTTGCGGCCGTGGTAAGCCTCAACCAAAATCGCAAATATGCAACTCCGACTCCCAATGTGTCTCTCCTTTATTTGGTTTCGTTGACTTGCAGGACCAGAAGCCTCCTGTGATCCCACTGCAAAAGCTCATTGTTCGAGAAGTAGCCAATGAGGAACGAGGGATGTTCCTCATCTCCGCTTCCTCAGCTGGACCGGAGATGTACGAAGTTCACAAATAATCTGCAATAAATTGTTGGTAATATGCTTCGGCCGAGGACAAAGCACTTTGGAGAATTTGGAAAACACCCTACACACTTGCTCCTAAAACAGGAATACACAATTGAGGGGCACGAGCACTGAAGTATGTGAATTGAAACTGCCAGAAAACAAAAATTACGCACATTAACACCAGGAATTAAACTGCAGTGCCATGTGTACAACAATCATCTTGCAGGGCTGACCTCTGTCATATCAATGGATGGGAAAAATGATGCTGAAGCTGTTTGGAAATCCCATGATGTATTATTAGAGTGGCTGCACACTGTATCTTTCTTGCTGTTTGTCAGCAGTGAAGGGACGTATGGGATTTATTGATCATCCAACCTTCCCCTCTCTATGGTGAAGTAGTTTAAAACGAGCATAAGCGTTCTGTTATCATAGCAGGTACAAACCTTATTGTGCTGTAGTTGTTCTTCTGCTTAATGTATATCACTGGTCGTTAGGTTGTTCTGGTACCCCCAGTAGTTGGCGCCATTCTTCTAAGGACATTTTCACTACCAAGACCAAATGATACCTGCAGCCAGAGATTCTGAGACGTACTTCTCTATAGCCTTTCTCTCCTTTAATGAAATTTTGTAGAATCTTCCTATAGGGAGAGTGAAACCTTGCGGGAGATGGATGTCACAATCATACGGCCAAGTGGGGTGGATAAGGCCATGGCACGATCCTGACAGAAAGCTTGCCCAAAGCCATGATATCGCTTCAGAACGGAGGTGAGGTCTGGTTCGTCTGGTTCCATGACATCAGACTGCAAAAAGTTCTTGTGACAAAAAAACAGTCCATGCAGTACGCTGAGGAGTGGTCCAATCAATAGCAGTGTTATGTAGTTTTATCCGGGGCAACCCAAGTACCAAGGGTGATTGAGGGCAGTCAAAAATGAATACATTGATTTCCTCACAGCAGTTACCTCGGAGTTGGAGAATTATTCAAATCTGACGGAGTTGTTCACTACACTCTTCTCAGTTGTGTGTGAAATTTAGAAAACATTTAATTTCGCTTTACAGGGATTTAATGAAATACCCAAGAAACTTCTTTAATAGATTAACCAACTCATTTTACTTGGATGATATTTGTATCATATATTAACAGCTGTTTTCATTTGACAAAGGTGTGTGAATCTCATGGAAGTTTTGATTGCAAAAGTAATATGGATAGTAGTTACTGTACCTTATTATCAGAAAAATGACAGACATTCTGAAACTCATCGCGACTGTACTGGCGTTTTCTCCCTCGCTTTTACTTTTTAAATGATCTAATGCAGGGGATGATATTTGTATCATATATTAACAGCTGTTTTCATTTGACAAAGGTGTGTGAATCTCATGGAAGTTTTGATTGCAAAAGTAATATGGATAGTAGTTACTGTACCTTATTATCAGAAAAATGACAGACATTCTGAAACTCATCGCAACTGTACTGGCGTTTTCTCCCTCGCTTTTACTTTTTAAATGATCTAATGCAGGGGTGTCAAACTCATTTTTGTTGCGGGCCACATTGACGTCACAGTTTCCGTTGGAGGGCCATTATGACTGTGAAACCGTAGAAATGTTGAATCACTTCCTCGTATTATTCCATATACTGTAAAGTACACAATTATTAGATTTTGAAATCAAAAGTCAAGGAGAGTAGTTTGTTCCCCCTGTTGTTGAAGTTTCTGAAATAATGCTTGTAATAGCTAACAATGCCGATTTATTACATATGACAACTTCAAATTTTGGTACGGATTTTAGCAAGCGTCATGGAAGTTGATCTGGTTGATTTGCTTTCGCGGGCTCCATAAAATGATGCGGCCGGCCAGATCTGGCCCCCGGCCCTTGAGTTTGACACCTGTGACTTATAGACTGTGGACTAGAGTGAATTCAGATCTTTCTTTGTAAACACATCAACCATTTTTAAAGATGTACAAAGCCCAAGAACTATGTAGATTTCAAGTCTGGAGATTTAGTGCTAAAATGTTTTTCATCATTTAAATACCCTTGATTGGCGTCCAGGCAGAAACTGAGTCCAGTGATACACATGGGCCTCGGCAGGAGTCGCTCCATCCCCCATCATTTTATTTACATATGTATAAAATGTGTGTTTGTGTATATTTGTATATGTTATCCCCCCCCTCCAGCTCGTATTAGAGGCATATGGTAATATATAGTTGGGCATGGTGTGGTCTTCAAGGAGACACGCCCATGGAGAATGAAGACAAGTGCTTGTTTTTTCATGATTTTGGTGCCTCGGTGTTGTTTTGTTTTTTAAATCATTTTCTGTGGTCTGTGGTCGAGACTTTAATTTGAACATCGGCGTCTTCACCTGCTGTTTCCCATGACAATGAAAACATTTCCTGTTATCCCGGTGTCTCCTTCAGCTTCTGTGAAAGACATCCCTCCCTCCACACCCCTCGCCTTCTCCTCCGTTTCTTCGTCATCCTCACTCACACCAACGACCAAAGAAAAGCGAGAAACACTCGACGCTCTCTCCAAAGGCCTCTCCGTCTCTTTAGAGAGCAGGTAGGATTGACATCCGTAGTTCAACCCTGCATATTCACAGTAATCAGATGGAATCCACCACAAAACTGATTCTAGCTAGCCTTTATTGCGGTCTCATTGTGAATAGCAATTTGTACCTAAAACTAAGCTAATTAACGTTTCTATATTCCCCTCTCTGTTCTATAGAAGGCTGAGTGACACAGCAGCAATGGAGATTGATTCCATTCCTACAGCTTACGGCTCACAGTCCGATGAGGGCGCCCCAATGACAATTCTTCCTTCAGTCGACCCACCAATGGCCCCGCAGGGTCAGTGAGGGTTAATCAGACGTTTGTAAAAGTTTGAATGTTTCATAGAATGACTGCACACTATCACAGGTTTAAAAACTTGTTGCGCAGATGATGCCGATGCTCCTCTATTAAGTGATCTATCAGCCGATCTTCTGGGACTCGACGCAGAGTCGTGGAGTCTTGCAGTGAGTCCGGATTTCTGCCGGCAGCATGACAGACGTGCCATCAAACGCCAGGATGTAATTTATGGTGAGGCCGGGCGGTCTTTTGTCATCGAGAGTCATTAAGCCATTCCAGTCTCTTCGTGAATCAGTTGTATTATTATGATAATCCACTTTGCTGCCTCCTTGTAGAACTAATGCAGACCGAGCTGCACCACATCCAGACTCTGACGGTCATGTCCGAAGTGTTCAGACGAGGAATGCTGGAGGAGCTGCAACTCGACTGGGATTGCGTGGCCCGGATCTTCCCTTGTTTGGATTCCTTGTTGCTCTTCCACAGGAACCTCTTTGGATCACTGCAGGAGTGCAGACAAGCTTCCACCCAAGCCGAGAACCAGAAAAATTACCTCATCCATCAGATCGGAGACATCCTGCTTCAGCAGGTTGGTCACGATGCATACATGTTCACGATTGCCAAAAATATTGTCACCGTCCACCCATATCAAAGGACTCTTCTTAAAACTGAAGATGACCCTTTCAGTTCTCAGATGAAAATGCTGAGACAATGAAGCAAGTGTACGGCGATTTCTGCAGTCACCACATGGAAGCTGTCAGTGTCTTCAAGGAGCTTCAACAGCAGAATAAAAAACTCCAGAACTTTGTCAAAGTGGGGCCCCCGGTTGTAGAACATTGCATGTTTTCAAGATCTGCAATGTTGTAAAATCCTTGTGGCCTCTCTGCTCACAGCAACAGAGCCATAACTCGCTGGTCAGGAGGAGAGGGATTCCAGAGTTTATCCTTTTAGTCACCCAGCGCATCACCAAGTACCCAGTTTTGTTGGAGAGGATATTACATTACACTCAAGGCAAGTCAGCTCCTTGTACAGTGGTGCCTTGAGATATGAGTCAAGCGTGTTCACAAATCACTTAAAACTGTGAATTATTTTGACATATGAGCCATCATTCAGCTGATTCTATTTATTTCTGTATTTATTTGCTTGACTTCTGAGCAAAAATGAATGATACAAGTGGCAGTGAATTCAACTGACTAAAGAACCACACGCAAATGTGCAAGCGCTCACTCAACTGATTGTTTCACTTCCATTCACAGTTCATTTCATCAGTTCAATGCAGAGCATATGAATATTTTTGCTTCCAAAAGCCCTTTTGCGGTGTTGTTTATGTTGTTTTGTAGACGGAAAGTCTTATTTAGATGTTTGAGAGCAAAAAATGGTGGCGCCACACTTGAACTTATGCGTGCGTTCCAAAAAGGTCTTTTTTCCTCCGTTTCTTTTACTCAGAAAATGGAAATCTAATGACATTTCGCTATTTTCTAATGCTGATTGCTAAAGAACGGAACAAAGATAGAAACAAACTTTTTTCCCGGCTCAAAGAACAGAGTCTCATTTTTTCTCTTGGTAGGCCTGCATGTTAATATTGCATTGAGGGGTTTGCTCCGGTGAAAATGGCCTGGCATTGAATGAGTTAAGAGCATTGCATCACCATTCATTTCAATGGGGAAAGATGATTTCAGTACAGGTGTTTTTTTTTTTAGTTAAAGATGTGGTCAAGAAACAAACGAAATCCATATCTCAAGGCGTCATTATAGTTGATGACATCTTTAACCTTGAACTGTACAAATGAATGAATAAATATTTCTATCTTGGTTCAAATCACTGTGTAAAAATGAATTCTGAAAACAGAATTTTATATTTAACCCTTTCATGCACCCCATAACACGATAAGCTGTCCACTGTAGTAACCTCTGTCCCTGAGAGGGTTAACCTTGACCTTGATGACCTTAAACCTCGACAGAAGGCAGTCAGGAACACTCCGACTTGTCAAGTGCTCTGGCTCGGATTCGTGATATCATCGCAGCAGTGGACCTGACTGTCAGTAAGTACGAGAGATCTCAGGAGCTGCAAGAAGTGCTCGCCCGTCTGGAGAACAAGAGCTTTGCCAAACTAAAGAGCGGCAAGGTGATTCGCAAGCAGGACCTGCACAGCAAACACAGAGATCTGCAGCACAAGGGACTGCTTTACTGGAAGACCGCCACAGGCCGCCTAAAAGGTTTGTAGCTTCTGCACATCTGGCGCCGGATCGTTTTCGTTGAGCTGATAACTAACTTTTGTGATTTTTTTTTTTTTCCGCCTTCCCTCTAGATACATTGGCCCTCCTCCTTACAGATGTTCTGGTGTTCCTACAAGAGAAAGATCAACGCTTTGTGTTTGCGGCCGTGGTAAGCCTCAACCAAAATCGCAAATATGCAACTCCGACTCCCAATGTGTCTCTCCTTTATTTGGTTTCGTTGACTTGCAGGACCAGAAGCCTCCTGTGATCCCACTGCAAAAGCTCATTGTTCGAGAAGTAGCCAATGAGGAACGAGGGATGTTCCTCATCTCCGCTTCCTCAGCTGGACCGGAGATGTACGAAGTTCACACCACGACCAGAGAGGAGAGAAATGCTTGGATGAGACACATAAGACAAGCTGTCGAGAGGTTTGTTTCGGAGTCAACTGCGAGCAATTGTTTGACAATGTTGACAATGACATCGTGACATTTTGTTTTATAGTACAGTCTTTTGTGCTGTGCTGTGTGTGTGTGTGTGTGTGTGTGTGTGTGTGTGTG